CTCCACATTTCTCCTCAGCAGGTGAAGCAGCTGTAGGATATTTCAGCCTTGTCATGCAGCAGGGGTTACTGAATGATCGAACACTACCATGTTTCTCTATCCTTGTGAGGACTTTCCATAGACTTCAATTCATTTTTTGGAAATATTATATCCTAACCCTGACCACAAACCCTAAGGTTAACCTCACAGGTACCTACCTGACCCTAAAACTAACCTAAACTCAATTCACACCTTGGTCCTAAACCCAACCCCCCACCCAAAATCAGCCTCTGAAGTCGTGGGGACCGGGCTTTGGTCCCCACAAGGAGCATCCGGTCCCCACAAGGCTGCATTTTCCTGAAAAATTGTTCCCACCAACTAGTAAAAACAAGGACGGACACACCAGGGGCTTTTCTAGGGGCGGGGCCTCTGGGGCATTGGCCCCTGCTGAAATCTGATTGGCCCCCTGAAGTGTGCTTGTCCTGTCGCCCATCTGTCCTTTGCCTGAGACCAATGATGGTGGGTGCAGTTCCATGCCCAAACACTAGAGGCACTAATGAGTCAAACAGTAACATTCAGCATGAATCAATCTTACAGAAGTCTTCTCTGATCTCTTCTTATCTTCTTTAAAAGACTTGAACAGTTTTGCAAAAAATGTCTTTCAATTAGCAAATAATGGCTTCATTTTCTCTCATGCTTTGAGAATATTTTTTCCATGTATAGTAAAAATTTACCATTGAAATGGAGAATTAAAGCTTTTTTAATAACATTACATTAGGTTACAATTGTTGGATCATATGTGACTGGTTAAATTTATACACCTTACCAAAATTTAGGATTTATGTGCAAGGATGTTGAACAAATARTTGGCCCCTCTATGAATATTGTGGCCCCTTGATGGCCCCTTACTCAGAAAAATCCTAGATCCGCCAATGGGACACACACACACTCACAACTACTGTCATTGAGGAGAATTGGTAAAGGAAATGCTCAGTTGTGTTCCTATTCACGTTTAAATCTCATCTGGATTTAAAACTTGTGCACACAGCCTGGTGTTGGTACTTTGCTCGTTTTGTTCATTATTACCTTTTTTATTTTGTTTAATTAATTTAGTTTAGTTTCAAATTTGAGCTTTGGTTTCATTTTTAGTGCGACTTTCCTTCAGTAACACTTTTGGATTGGTTGTGGTGAGATGGGACCTCATAAGTGGACCCATTGCTCTCCCATAACACACACTGGTCTTTATTCAAACCTTTGTGTTCATCAGATGAAGGACACAAGGTGAGAAACAATCAGTGTGTTCTGTGTCTCACGTTCTATAAAAGGGTGTCCAAATATACTGTACACACACACACACACACAAGTGTGTTCTGAGCTTCTCTGGATCCATAAAAGGATGGAGTCCCATCACCATTTCGTGGTGGTTGAGCAGACATGGAGAAACACATGGAGACACAGAGAAACGGGGAGACAGAGGGAGACACATGGAGACCGAGAGAAACACAGAGAAACACAGGGAGACACATGGAGACAGAGAGAAACACAAAGAAACACATGGAGACACAGAGAAACACAGAGAGGCACAGAGAAACACAGAGAGGCACAGAGAAACACAGAGAGGCACAGAGAAACACAGGGAGGCACAGAGAAACACAGGGAGGCACAGAGAAACACAGGGAGACACAGAGAAACACAGGGAGACACAGAGAAACACAGAGGCACAGAAAAACACAGGGAGACACAGAGAAACACAGAGAGGCACAGAGAAACACATGAAGACACAGAGAAACACATGCAGACACAGAGAATCAGGGGGAGACAGAGGGGGACAGAGAGAAACACTGAGAAACAAAGGGAGACAGAGGGAAACACATGGAAACAGAGGGAAACCCAGGGAAACCGAGGGAGACACAGAGAAACACAGAGAAACACAGGGAGTCACAGAGAAACACGGGGTGACAGAGGGAGACACGTGGAGACAGAGAGAAACACAAAGAAACAGAGGGAGACAGAGAAACACAGGGAGACACTGGAAACACAGAGGAGCACAGGGAGACACAGAGAAACACAGGGAGACACAGAGAAACATAGGGAGACAGAGGGAGACACATGGAGACAGAGGGAGACAGAGAAACACAGTTTGACACAGAGAAACACAGAGAAACACAGGGAAACAGAGAAACACAAGGAGACACAGAGAAACACAGGGAGACACAGAGAAACACAGAGAAACACAGGGAGACACAGGGAGACAGAGGAGACAGAGAGAAACAGTTTGACACAGANAAACACAGAGAAACACAGGGAGACACAGGGAGACAGAGGAGACAGAGAGAAACAGTTTGACACAGAGAAACACAGGGAGACACAGAGAAACACAGGGAGACAGAGGACTGAGACTGATGGGTAAGAACCATCAGAGAAGTGGTGACAGAGGTCTGGTTAAACAGAAGCAGAGTTGAGTGAAAAGTGCAAACAGCTGGGTGATCACAGAGTGAAGACGTGGAAGACAATGATCAGGACAGACTGAACAAACTGAGGATGAGATGTAAACACAAGGAATGAACACCAGAGGGAGACAAAACACACAGATCCTCATAAGCACCAGAAGAAAAAGAACAAATGACATCATTAGAGCCCATCACTCATACGGATAGTTGTATCAAAATACTGAAGTTATAGTTATTTTATGATGGGAATCCAGGTTCAAATTAATTTTTCTCTAAGTCTTGTGTAGTTATATTTCAGCTTCACGAAAGGGATTCTGGACAGGTCAGTCTTTAAATCAGAGGGTTTCTGACCTCTGCTGCATAAGAATTAAAAATTGTGCAGAAAAAGCTTTAGTACCTGTTTTAATGGAATGAAACAGCACTTCTGAGGGGGTTTATCCAAAGATAGCAATGACCTGATCAGAACCCTATCAATCTCACACATCCAGTTGTGATGCAGCATTTGTTATGGACACATATTGTATGATATTTTCTGGTTTTTGAATTCTTCTGTTTATGGTTTTTCCTCCCACAGGGATTGCAGTTGATAAAAATGGGCTGATCTTCTTTGTGGATGGAACAATGATCAGGAAAGTAGATCGCAATGGAATCATCTCCACAATGCTGGGCAGCAACGATCTGACCTCTGCACGACCTTTGACCTGCGATACCAGCATGCACATCAGACAGGTGACGTGCAGAGAACAGAATGGTTGGCTTCAAGTCAAAACACAATGGTTGAAAAATTATTCACCCCCTTAGTGTCTATTCTATTCTACTACCTTCTTACCTGGAAGAGAAATGGGATTGTATTAGACCTACAGTGAATACTCCAGATTAWTGAAGTTATTTGGAGGAAAACAACATCCATCCATCRATCTGTTTATAAATGCATCCATCCTCCTATATGTGCCGTAGACTTTGTCTTTTGATTATCGTTTATTTGTTCTTTGTATTTTACTTCCCTTGTTTGTTTGACAGGGTCTCCTTTGCCATTTCTCATTTCCTCCCTCAGTCTGCTCCCTGTCATACAATCAGCCCAGCTGCTTCCATTTTCTCATCAGCCCCGATGCAACGATACAGAAAATTCACGGTTCAGTTCGGTTCGATACTTCAGTCTCACAGTTCGATATTTTTTCGATACAAAAAAGAGAAATGTCCATGCCCCTTTTAACTTGTAATTTATTTAAATTAATTATGAACATTTGTTTAACCTCAAAATAGTTTGTACTGTAAATTAAATGTTGCTGAACAGCAAGTTTCTCTGTAGATCTGTGCTCGAAAATACAGCGTAGGTGGAGTAGTCGAACACAGATCCACCGATCCTTTAACACAGAGCATATTCAGAAGACAAGTTTATAAAATAAATGTAAAAAATCGGTATTGTTCGATACACGTGTGTATTGAATATATATTC